CTCTTTCCAAAACAGTTTTGATAATATGCAGGGCTTAAAGTACAAGGATGCATTTTAAGATTAAGCCTCACACGCCAAGTCAGTCAGTTGAGGGACCAACCATCCTCCCTGCGAAAAGGTGCTGAATTTTAAAGAGGTTCTTACTATTCAAAATACCGCAGCCTCCATTGATTACTGACAAAAATAAAGCTACAGCCTGTTCAGACAGGAGCATCTTTCCCCTGCATCACCCTCCCTGTAACTCCACCACTGTTATCATGTCAATTCATCTTTACGGCACCGCAGAAAATTATTAATCCAATCACTTCTGCCAAGGGACGGCGGCAATGGAAGCCCTGTGCTCAAGAAATCCTCTCTCCCAAGCCCAATTCCTGCGTGGAGGTTTGCTGCGGGAGGGCGCTGGGTGCCAGCTCGCGGTGAGACACGGCCACGGGGTGCTGGTGCCAGCTCGTGGCGAGGGGACAGGACGGCTGCACCTCGCAGGGGACACTGTTCAACGCAGAGCAGGCGAGGGGTGGTTGAGAACAGGCAGGTCTGCAGACGAGCACATCACCTGGGACAGAGCCAGGCGACAAAAACCCCTAAAATACATGTATTGGTATGCGCACACCCCCCGTTTTCCTGTTAACACACACTGGAGAAAACAGACCTAAACCCCGAAAGCTTCTCATGAAGTAAAAAGGTTCTTTCACTTCTCAGTATTAGTCACTGACGAAGGGTAGGAAATTCGGGAGGAGAAGGCCTTTGCCGAGAGGGGAAGGGACGGGTCTCACGTACGCACGGTTATAAAACTCACAGAACTGGGGCCAGTGACTGACTTGGAGACAAAGCCCAACTCTCCAGCACCCCAGTGGTTTGAACATCACGCTCCTGCTAATTATTCCCATTTGCTCGTATCATCAGAGCCAAAATATCTTTACCAGGAAGTTTTGGAAGGAATATGTATAGAACATAGATGTTTTAACCTAGTACAAAACTTGCAGACCCTGATGCCCCCAGTTTACTTATCTAAATTCATGCCGTAGGCGGTCCAATATCCTGAACAAAACCAGATCGTACCCCTTCTACTAGAAGCAACTGCTGCTTAATTGCTGCAGGATCACTGCCATTCAGAGGCTCAAAACAAGGCCTTTACGACCTATTATTGAAAATTTCTGAGATTCATCTGTAAGTAATCCAGAAGCATAAATTTTATAAAAGCACAACAGAAACGGCAATTCATTATTATCCTGAGATTTTCCTACAAAGTTACAATCCCCCCAAGAACACTCGCGCTGTGCTCAATTATTGACTCAATATTCCTGATAAATTATCAAAGAAGAAGTTAATCCTTCCCGGTGAAATATTTCACCAAATATACTCTATGTTTTGCAGAGGAAACAGATTTATAGAGCTGATTAAGAGGCCTGCGATGTCCAAGTGTGCTAGAACGGACAGCCCAGGAAACAATGCCGGGCTGCCCTGCTCCCTCGCTGCCAGTGGAATGAGCCAGAGGGTAGAACCATGGAATGTTTTGGGTTGGAAAAGACCTTTAAGACCATTGAGTCCAACCGTTAACCCAGCACTGCCGAGGCCACCACGAAACCATGTCCCTCAGCACC